AGAGCAATTTTACTGCAACCGCGCGGCGGCGCTATATAAAAATAATAAAGGAGCTGCTCTTGTTCGCTTGTTTCCTTTAGTTTCTCCACTTAGTAAAATGTTCAAATTTTACTGCAACCGCAGGAGGGTGAATGTTCCATCGATTTTAATGCAAATACGCGGAGCAGCTCATTCTTCTGCTATTTAAGTTCTTTGGATGAACCAATGACATAAGAACATTAGATGAATCAATGCCACAGGTGGAGGAAATTAAATCAAAGTTGAAAACAAACACTGAGTAAGACAGCTGCTTGGAAGGTTATACAGTACTACAATTTTTAAGTAAAACAAATTTTAAGTACAGTAAGACAAAAGAACTCCATTATGTATAGGCTATTGTAATACAGTATATTAATGAAATAATTAACTTCACTTCCAGATTTACAAAAGTTGTCCATTCAAGAACCAAGAAAAAGACTTGTTGGCGCTGCAGTGTTTGAAATAAAAATTTAACTTGCAAAGCATCTATATTATAAATTGAGTAAGGCCTTAATGTTTGTGGCGATTTTCCATCCAGATGCGTGCACAGCTCTGGAAGAAATATATCGTAGCACCATTCTTTTAAATGTCTTATTATTACTGGCATATTTTGAGCTCCTATTTATGTCTATTAAAATATCAAAAAAACAATTTTATGAATCTACAAAATATTGGACGAGAATTGTCACGCTACAAAAGCAACACATATGAGAATTCATTATTCAAATTACGTTAGTACACTACAGCAAAAGGAGCAGCAGAGTATAGAAAAGTGGAACCTTCAGTATTTGCAGCTAATACAAACACGTATATGTTCACTAAACAATGGAATAAAAGTATTATAAACTCCTGACCATTTTAATCATTAAAATAAGTCAATACGACACGAATAAGAAGTCTCCATCCATCAAATTTTATCATGTATTGTATAATCCATTTTCTACCATATTCTTTACCAGTATGCCTATCTTACCTGCTTTAACCAGGGAGGTATAAAAATAACTAACATTATAAAAAAAATCCAGATTTTGGAAAGTCAAAAAAAAAAAAAAGAAAAAGAAAAAACTGATCGCCCAAAACACCTCAGAGGTTACTTTTGGGTGTCTACAAAACAAAAAAGATGGTGGCATTATCACGATAGGTCCCACTTTCTCGCCCCCCCCCTTTTCGGACATCTGTGGATCCGACCCTGTAGGGTGCTTTTAGCTGGAAAAAAAGTGTAAATAGTCAGCATCTTTTTCTTCTTTAGGGATGGAGAGGGTCATTCATGAAAATAATGTTCAGGTTAAAATTATTGTTGGCTTTTAAATCGCTCAAACGATCGATGGGATAGTGACAAGACAAAAGAGGGTTCCCCAAGTCATTTAAAGTCAGACTCCAGAGGGAAAAATATTTTTGATATGTTGTAAAACTGATTTTTCTAAGACAGAAAAAAAAGTTGTTTGATGAAAATCTGGGTAATGGTGAATGAGATACAGATTTTTGAATATTTTAAAACTGGGAGGAAAAGGTGTAAAAATGGGCAGTCTTAGAAAAATTTATATGTACTAGTATTTTTGATATTCTTATTATGATTATTCTTTGTTGTCCTATTTGATGATTCTGTGTTGTCTTGATATTTCATATTTTTTAACTTTAAATTTGTAGTTTAGACAATTTTCTAATATATTTTTATATTAATGTATATTGGACCAAATAAATGCATTCATCAGCATTCATCTTATAGATGTTGACCGACTCCCTGTAAATCCTGCTGCGTCTGCATATGTATTTTGTTTACATACATCCCTGTAATGAGGTTTACTCATGGCTTGTTTAAAACAAAACAGCTCATTGGCCGTTTGATTAAGGTGAGACATGATAGAATCTGTCTGAAGATCAGACTGACAACACTGCTTCCAATCAAATCAACAAAGTATTCAAAGAATCTAACTGGGAACATGGACCTATTATAGGTCAATTAATGTAGAATGTAAGTGTTTTGAGAGTCATTCAAGGGAAGAGTGTAGAAGAGGTGAGATGCACGGCTGCAAAAAGTTGGTCTTATCAGAAGAGAATGTCCAGACGGATCAAAGAACTGAAGTCCTCTGGGTTCAGCCAGAGAAGTGTCGGTAAGACATGTAGTAGGTGATTGTAGCAGTCAAATGAAAAATCCCACGACATTAATTTCAGTCAGACAGGGCAGCACCTTAAAATTTGATTAACTCAATGGAGGTATAGATACCTCCATGCCACTGCACCTGATAGCAAATATACATTATAGTTTAGACAAATAATTATTATTATAATTATTTGCTATCAGGTGCAGTAGCATGCATGTCTTTTTGTATAAAAACCTTGATGATAGTATGAGGGTGCACGCAACAAAACTTGCATAGAGGCACAAGGTTCTTGCCCCTTTGGTCAATGAAAGTTCCCTACACTTTCGAATGAGTTAGCGTATACCTGCAAGGGCCTTTACTCATTACATCTAGAAAACAGCATGTACTACTGTATGCTTTACCAACTACTGCATTATGTGGCCTATTTTAGTACTACTGTATTATAAAAGTAATTGAAACCAGGGCATCTACCATACAGTAGGGGATACTTTGTCCATTGGATTACCACTGGCACCTCCACTGCTATACTGAAGCTGAACCACTCCACCTGAGGTCTACAATATATATTAATATTGGTTATACCTGCTGGATTCCCCCTACACGATGTAGAACCCTGTGCAACTCAACAGCATGAATAGGTGACCCTGTAATACTCATCAATATTGCTATGAGAAATGGTAATACCAAGGTTAATCCTATATACATACCATATGGTACAGGTGGGGTGCTCCCAAATGGCCATAGCCACAGACCCCTCCGTGTTGCATCCCTAATGTGGTGTGAAAACCAGGAGAGAGTAAAAAGGTATGGAAAGTAGTGAAGTCGATGAAGTCCACTTGCACAGATGATAATCTCGCTGATAATAGCTATTACAGGTATCAACGTGGTCATGTGAAACAACGGTCGCTGCTGAAGTGATGTCGCATCCTATGAAAAAATAAACCATATTAGAAATATTATTTACTTTTTAATCATTATGCTAACCTTCAAACTTCCATTGGAGCCTTCTCAATACTGATTTAAAATAGGAAAAAGTATGGATTTGCAAGAGGTTCGACTCTTGTGGTTTTGTTGCAATGTAATCCTATCCCAAAAAGGAACTAGAGGGCATCCTTTGAAAGTAAAAGGCATTGCTGCATCTATAGAATGCATGTTCCAGTTTTGAACTCTATTTAAATATAATAGGGTGCCCCCTATCTCGTGGTAGTACTTTTTTAAAGTTTCATTGCGTGCATACAAAATCAGGTCAGTCGGACATCTTGCAGTTCCAACTTTTGAAAATAGTTTTAGATACACTGATTCAAATAAATATGGACATTAAAATGAAATAACTATTTTACAATATTTGTCATAGTTTCTTTAGGCCATGACTTTTCTATGAAAATGTTTTTCTTTTTTTCAATTGCTTAAAATATTCAATATATCTGAAAACAAATCACAAATATATTATTCTCATAAAATGATAAAACCTTGGAAGAAATTTTTCAGTTCCTTGATTTTATGTTACCCTTCTTAATGTACTTGTGTAAAAAAATCTTATAAATCACTTAATACCTTCAAGTGAATAGACCGTGCTGCAAGAAAATGGTCGACATCCATGCAACTAGCAAGGATGCCAGCCAATATTATTTGACGTAAATTCTTGGTACTGTTGAGGTTTCCACCTAGAACTACTGCCCATGTCCATGAACCAATTATACCATGGGTAAAATTATCAAGAAGCGCTGCAAAGACTCTGTTCCTTCGACATGCAGCGGTCTGAGCAAGTCGATCACAAGTCAGACAGAATACACCCAGAAAAGATGCCGAAATCAAATTTGCACTGGTAAGAATTCCTTTGATGCTACTAGTAGTACCATTACTAAGTCCTTTATCCAAATTATATATGATCGGAAGTCTCATTTTCCCTCAGATACAGTTGGTTACATCATATAGCTTTCACTTTAAAAAATTTGAGAATTCTGCAAGAGAAAAGTACCATTAGATGGTTGGTATGCCTTATCTCATTTAGTGCATTTAGGCATGCCTTTAAAAATCATCTGTCCCTTGTAATTACTGTGGTACTGAACTTTTATGTTTTTCAGCACAGATTTTGTTTTTGTCAGGTAAATTTTATCATCTTTTTTGTCATTATCAAAATCATTCAAAGATTTGTCAAAAAGTGTGACGAACAAGGGAAGAGATTGGTGGAGCAGCAGGACAAAACTGACGACCTGTCAATAGCGGGACAGTTGGATTAGGCCTACATACTATTTGCACACACACCCCCAACCCAAAAAACACACAGGAATTACAAACAATCTAATACCCTGTACCTATATCATTTATAAGTTCATCAAGCCATTTATCATACATTTGTTTTTTGTTTTTAAGTATTCATTTTATTTGTTTTTTTAAATATGTTGTTATTAGTAGAAAACTAACAAAACGAAACTAAAATAAAAACCCGATTGACGAACTTATTATATAGACATATGGTACATTTTGCATTTTTGCAACTCCATTGGCGCTCCATATATTTGTTCGAAATAAACCGCGACCGAAATGAAGCGTCACACCGAAGTTAGGGGCATGGCCTGGCCCCTGTCCAATCCCCAAACCTACGAAACCCCTGTGTCACAAGTAGGCATACACTCGTGATTCCATATTATTAACTCCGTCAACCATCATAGAAATAGGCCTAGTAGTAAGTATTCTATAATAATAACGAACTAAATCACATTTTTTTACCCTACCGATTAGACTTATTCCGCTCTCCTACCTACTAGGCCTATACGACTGGCGATAGTCTGCTTTTTACGTTTACAACCCTCTATAGAATGAACTTTGACACGATGGTGATGGTAAACAAAACAATCTATTTTTGTGAGGAGGCCTGTCTCGATCCTAAAAATAAAATAGCGCTTGACTGAAAGAAGAGCTAAAAAGTCTTTTCCTGGCCGGACGATGTACGTACGTAGGCTGTTTTATAACCCCTTAGGTTAGGCGATTGAGGAAATTTCCTCCATGGTTAGACCTAGTTAAACAAGTAAAGCTGTCACTAGGCCTAGGCCCTCGTCATGTCATAATCTAGACCTAAGCTAGGTAGGCCTAGCCTGTCCACCCTACAGACTAGGCTACTGTACAGAACAAAACATGAAGCACATACTAAATTCCATTATTTCAAAAAATGGAAGAAAGAATATAGTAGAAAGATATTTTTTTAGTGGAAAGATAGCAAAACAATAATAATTAGGCCTATGATAAACCGATTCACGAACTAAAATATATAGGGCATAGGCATATTAAATTTTTTGTTTTCGCAACTCCTTCGGCGCTTCATATATTTGTTCGAAATAAACCGCGACCGAAATGAAGCGTCACACCGAAGTTAGGGGCATGGCCTGGCCCCTGTCCAATCCCCAAACCTACGAAACCCCTGTGTCACAAGTAGGCATACACTCGTGATTCCATATTATTAACTCCGTCAACCATCATAGAAATAGGCCTAGTAGTAAGTATTCTATAATAATAACGAACTAAATCACATTTTTTTACCCTACCGATTAGACTTATTCCGCTCTCCTACCTACTAGGCCTATACGACTGGCGATAGTCTGCTTTTTACGTTTACAACCCTCTATAGAATGAACTTTGACACGATGGTGATGGTAAACAAAACAATCTATTTTTGTGAGGAGGCCTGTCTCGATCCTAAAAATAAAATAGCGCTTGACTGAAAGAAGAGCTAAAAAGTCTTTTCCTGGCCGGACGATGTACGTACGTAGGCTGTTTTATAACCCCCTAGGTTAGGCCATTGAGGAAATTTCCTCCATGGTTAGACCTAGTTAAACAAGTAAAGCTGTCACTAGGCCTAGGCCCTCGTCATGTCATAATCTAGACCTAACTAAGCTAGCCTAGGTAGGTCTAGCCTGTCCACCCTACAGACTAGGCTACTGTACAGAAATTAGGCTTTTATAAGTAGAGCTTGTCCCTACTATAGTATTATAGGTCATTGACATAGTAGGCTAGGCCTAGTAGGCTAGCTAAGCTTAGTCCAGGATCTCCAACATAACAGAATCTTGCATGATAGTTCTAATTGTATGCTTTATTTCAATTTTAATTGTAAATAAATAGAATAGAAGACCAGTATTAATATTCTTAAATAAGCTAGGCTAGATGTTTTACATGGAGAAGACCGTTCATTACTCGATTGATTATTTCTTCATCTCCATCTTCTTTACATAGCGAAAAGTCCATGTAGAACCATTTTAGTGCCACACACAGGCTTTGCAATAGTTGATTCTGATGTGCATTATTTAGAAAGATGGAAGTTATGGTTTTCACTGAGCACCCTCATCTAGATGCTGCACAGGCTTTGACGAGTATTAAGGGAAAAGTAGTGAAGTTATGATTCTTGGCACCTATCTTCCTAGTGATTTTCCACGCAAATTGAGTTTTTTTAAGATATCCTCATCACAAAATAAATTACTTTTCAGCGTGGCAGAGCTGTACCAACCATACAACCAAGTGCAAAACATCTAAAATGCTGCCATGTAACAACATAGTTAAACTGCACATGTGGAGATTTAAACCTTTATGCACTATTGAACATATAGCCAACATGTAAATATATTTCCATTGATTGTTTGGTTTGTGCATTTTGCGGTGAACTGTATCAGTCAATCAAACTCATTATTCATCAAATCAATTCCATATAGAAACAAATGATAACATGTGCAAAGATTAAATAATAAATAATAAAAATATGAATACAGTATTAAAATAAATGTTGAATGATAAAAATGATGAAATAGAAAAAAGAGATTCCAGGGAGCTTGAAAATAGGAGGCCCATCAAACTAATGTTTTTTTATTTTGATAAATCTAATGGGAAAAAAGGAGGAATTATCAACTGTATTCTGAAATTGATGTTGAAAAAATCACACTCCTTGGAATATACTTATATTGATTATATCACCTACAGCATTTTTTCAGAGATTTTAATTTTTTTTTTTCCCCGAATTTGGTACACTTTTCTTCTAACAAATTAGATTGATAAAATTTAGTTTGTATACAAATTTCAACAGATGAACTGATTAGTCAGCAGTTCTATTCTTCCAACTCTTAATTATAATCTGTCATCATTAATAATTTTTTAAAAATATGGTTTTATAGAAACTTCCAGTTTCAACATGCCTCACAGTATGTTCAATTCATTTGTTTTCCAGATGAAATATACAGTATAAAAGAAACAAGGTATTACGAACACCTTAAATGGCAACAGTATTTTCTCTACAATTCCTGGCAGTCAAGTCTGCTGTTAAGATTTTACTTGACCATGAAGACCAACACAGCTTGGAATTGCGGAAGAATGCAAAACTCTTGATAAAACAGCTCTCGACTCAATGCTTCACTGCTGTTAGTGCTGAAATCTTAGAGACTTTCGTCAACCAGCATCCAAGACTTTTAACTGGAGAGATGCTTGAGGTTCTGGCATCACCACAGTTGAAAACATTGTGCCTCAATCATTGCACCAAAATTCTTTGTCATCATGGTCAATTAAAATATGTAAAAAGTGTCATGAAAAAGTAAGAGGATGCTTCTTCTAATAATGTCACTGTCATAATATGATGTCTTTTAATCACAAAACTCTAGAGCTACATCAAGAACTTACAGAAAAGCAAAAATAAGCAACCATTTTGTAATATATTGGTAGTATTTTGAGGTTGTATTGGGTAGGAATGTGCAGATAATATACAAATTTGATGTAAAATGTTCAAGGATGAAGAATTATTATTTTTTTTTTAATTTAATTTAAAAAACAAAATGCAACATTATTTTTAATGCAAACCATTGCTCAACAGTTGGAAGTGGTTATTCACACAGCCATCATGTGTAAGAACTTAGCTACACTGCACATTCGGATAACCTGCGTGTACGGACATGTATAATATAAAACTATCAAATGCTTAGTGTGTGATTTTTAAAGATAACCTTTGATCATGATTGCCAGAATGGAGGAGCACACCCTTTTAAAAGATTAGATTCATTAGAAGTAATTGTTCATTCCAGATGTAACAGACTGCAGCATCTGCAGGTGAATGGCTGCCATCCACCATCGGAAACAACAACTGAACTCTGTCATATGATTGGTCAGTATCTCAATACTCTAACCTCTCTCTCGTTTGAAGGCTGTCGAACTCTCTCCAATGAAAATGTCCAGGTAAGAAAACATGCATGAATTACAAAAACTAGGCTTGTTGATAGAAAATCCAACTGTGAATAATTAATTTTTTACTTGACTTGGAATCTCAATTTTTTGAAATAGGACATTCGTATACATATCATGGTAATATATATAATTTTTATGCCTCTCTAAAAATTGTAAGTATTTTGAGAAATTTTTTTTACTGGATAAGATGTAAACTGTTTTTTTTTTACTGCAAATATGTTTATTGTAAGCATATTTACTAACAAAAAATGACTGAATGGTTACATGTTTATTTAATATGGGATCAGCATTGATCACATATAAAGTATTTTCCCCTGATAATACATGCATTGAACATGCATACATATATAGCATATCTACTTACCAAATACAAATTTACATTATTAAATAATAAATATATATTAAAATACCTAGTCAAATATAGCCTATAGATTGCATGTATTTTTTTCTATTATTAATTTATTCTGCTTTCCATGTTTATTTTCATGAATGGTGATGTGTGTTTTTGATGTTCTTTGATCCTATTAAACTACTATTATTAACTATTAAAATATTCCACTTTTCTTTAACATTGTAGACCATTCTGCTGAACTGCCAGAACCTATCTCAATTGAACCTGTCAATGTGTCCTGGGATAACTGACCAAGTGTTCAATATCCCACTTCCTTCTCAACAACTTAGGGCATCAACAGGAAGCAATGTTTCATGTACAACCTCTCATAAAGTAGGAAGTGCCTTGCCAGGCCAGCATTTGTCAGCAGTCGACGTCTCCTCCAACCAGAATCTAACAAGTACCTGTATTCGCTATCTGGTAACACTATGTGGAGCATCTTTACAAGTTCTTAACGTCTCTTGTACAGGGGTAAGCAAAATTTCAAATTCAAACTGGCCCAGATGTGATTTTCATCTACTTTTAGCAGTAGATCAACTAAAAACTTGGGTCTAATATAAGGGAGTTACATACAAATTTGATATATCTTAAGAATTCTGATATTAAAAATATATACCAGTGTAGATTCAATTTGGATTTTGTCATGTATGCACATATTTAATAATGCAGTGGTGACGCTAAAAAAAAAAAAAAAAAGCTCCCCCCCCCCCCCCCCCCCCCCCCAGCAGGAAGAAAACCACAATTCATTGGGGAGGAAAAAAATTATATGTATTTTCTACATATTAATAGACTCTAAAATTGATTAAATAATCCTTTGCAACCCCAAAATTGTCATATTTTTTGGGCCTTGCCCCTGGGACCACTTTCGAAAGATTTTGAACGACACCTAACCAGGCCCACTTAGTTCTCGTCGGGGACATCAGTCCCCTCATCTGGTAAATCCTGGCGCCACCCCTGTTGATATGTTTAGGATATAGACCCTTAAGACGTGAATATTGATCAGTAGTCTTTGTGGCAATTCTTTGCACTCTCACAGATTTCCTGATCTATATCATTAAAATGTATATTTTATTAGCATTATACCTCGATATGTAGGGTTTTTATTTTATATGGTAACTAATTAATAGCATTTGAATCCTGTTCAATGCTTTGATATTTGTCATGCTTGATTTAACACAGATGGACTGTACATTACTGTGGTACCTTTGTGGTTACAGTTGGTACGATGCTGTGGAATTGGCCTCCAACTTACAGAGTCAGAGTACATCTGGCAATGTGATGTCACACCTAATCAGGGATTACCATTTACTAAAAGCAGAACTCAACAGACAGATGGAATCTGCAAATGAACACGAGGAACTACAATTGGGGGACGATGAGGCAGGATCCCAAGAGGATGATAGAGCAGTGACTCAACAAGATAAGGATGATGCAGCAGCACCCAAACCAACGGAAGAAAGTAGAATGTTACCCCAACCGAAGGAGGATGATGATGGAGCAGTAGTCAAACCAAAGGGTGATGCGAGTGTGGAATGCAGACCAACACAGAATGAGGAAATAGATGACAAAAATATATTGCATATAGATGATGTAGATTTGAATTTCAAAGAATCTTCTTGCCCTTTGAAAGACGCAAATGCTATATCAGATTATGCCAGTTCTCAAGATATTGTCAATTCTACACAATATAGTGTTAACTTCCCACCAGTTAGTGCCAATACCCCAACAGATGGCAATACTGCACCAGATAATGATGATGCTTCATCAGATAATACAGATTCTTCATCAGATAGTGTCAGTGATCAATCTGATGATAATGGGCAGAAACCAAAAATATCATTTTCCCTTTTATCACACCATGATGAAATCCTAGATGGACTAGTGTCAGAGTTTGTTGAAAATATGTTGCAGCAAATTAGACACTCATGTCTTGAATATACTCATAAAATATATGAAGGTGATAATGATGATGATATAGTAACACACAAAAAACCTAATGAACAAGAATGTCAGGAATTGTTCAAAGCTGCAAGTTACGAGGCTTCTTCTAAAAACCTCAAAGTCATCCCAGACCAGTCATCAGATTCTGCAGTGGCAGCACCAACCACATCCAAAGACAACCCTCGGCCATGCCAATGGACTAGAAACTTTATTCCAAATATTAAAGATTTAGACATCTGCAATATTGATTTTGATGACAATCTTGGAGAAATATGCCTTCAAGAATTCTTGAAGATCAACAAAGGTTTAGTGAAGTTGAATTTATCATGGAGAGCAGTTAGTGATGATATGTTGTCAAGTGTACAAGATTCACTCACCAATCTAAGATGGCTATCACTGGTAAGATGTTGGTTTCAAAAATCTACACAATATACATACAAATACACAAATATTTAATTAACATTATAAAAGGTGTTTGTTCCATATTCCAATTATATGTGTAATGCCTCATTGATTTTTAGGTGTTATTTGGAGGAGGTGGAATCAGGTATATACTTGGAAACAGTCCTCATTACAATTAATATTGCAAACATTTGGTGATTTAAGATATGAGAATTTCATGTCCACTGCCAGGTGTTTGTGCATTCTTATTATTTTTATTGTAGCTAATATAACCATGATTACTATTTTCTATTCAGAGTGAATGCGAGAAGATTACCAGTCATGGACTTGCAAGTTTACTTGGTGTTTGCAAGAACTTAACACACCTGAGCATGGAAGGTAACATGATGACAGCTATATTATGTAAAATGTTTTAAACTTTGTTCATGTTCCCAAAAATGAGCAAATAGAGTTTGGAATATATTCATACTATATTACTTTATACAGTATTCATATATCTTGGAACACTTGTGATAGTGGATTACAAGCATATGGGTTGGGTGGAGTACTATTAGTAAAATAACAATGAAATCATGAAGTGCAATATGCCTGAAATCTAGTCTTTGATCAGTGTAATAACAGACACCTTGGGACAAAAACTAAAGACAACACAAACTAGTGTGCAAAGGTGCATGCTGGGCAACACAGAGAAATAGACAATCTATAGGCAATATAGACAACAGTGGCAAAGACCTCACTGACTAAGAAAATACATACATGAAGCATATTATTATTTGGATGAGAACTGCTTATTGGAGTAATTGTTCCAGCTTTGGGGTGGCCATTGTACAGTGGATCGATAATTATATGACAACGATGATGATGGCGACTAGGATGATGATAATAAATACAACATTAACCGTGGCGATAACAAATTTGAAATATAAAAGACCATTAAGTGGCTCGACTTACAATAGACATGAAGCATTATCATTATTATTACCTTAATGATACCATTGTTTTTTTAGGAATGTATTTCATTTCCGACATAGCATTATATCCATTGTTTAAACAAGATGGGCGATGTGGCGTATGCAGTTTAAAGTTGAGTGAGACGTACATCACTGACAACAGTCTTAATCGAATTGCCAAATATCTTGGTCCAAAAGTAGGTTTTATATTGAGTGTAATTAATCCGAAATAAAAATGGTTATCACAAAATGTTTAGGTCAGGGTTCAATTCTTATGATGTCTCTTTGCTTGAGTTCTTGGATAAATGGCACTTGATGATTGTGTCATACCCAGGTATAATGGCTACCTGGTAGGATGCAGTTGTTTTCTTAGTGTGCATATTGGCCTATGCTGATGTTCATGCATTAGGTAAAGGGCAAATGTTGGACAATATCCCATAACTGGCAGCATAATTTTGCTGAAAGGCATATGGCCTTGGTCCATTGTAGCAACCGTGGAGGGGCATACTTGATAGCTTCATTTTAATTTTAAGTAAAGATAATAAGTTGCTCTGATGCTGTGTTTCATTTTTAAAATTTAAATAATATGTGAACATAAAACTACTAAGTGCCTCCCTACAGCTGCATGAGATTAGTTACTCTTTATGCACGACTCAATTCAGCATGATAACGTTGCAAGTTATGGGCTTATTATACTACATGTACCTTGTGCATCCAGTGAGCTCTATCTTATCAGATATGCATGATCAAATATCAATCTGACAGACAAAACTCTATTAGTATGTCCGTTATGTAGGTATTCTTATTAAAACCTATCAATGCATTATAACATGTTACTCCAATAGTTGACAGTTCTGCATTTGAATTGGTGTGAAGAGATCAGCGACGCCGGGCTTTCTGACATCACTGCCAACTGCCCACATTTGACAGACTTCGCTATTCGACAATGTACCACTTCAAAGTCTACACTTATACAGCTAGCTGAAAATTGCCCCAACTTGAAGTCACTAAATGTTGCTGCTGTGGACTGCTTGGTGGATGATGTTATGATTACCATGACAACAAGACTGAGTTTGTTAAATACGATTGATGTTAGCTGGAATTCTGGTAAGATATTAAAAACCACATTCATTGTAAATAAAGATGAATTATCGAGAAAAATATTGGCCCCTCTGATTACTGTTTGATTGCTGATTGTTTGAAAACAAATTCTGATGTGAGCACACTCAATTGTGAGAAAGAACAGTCCACCATTAGAACTTTATTTCAAACCTATAGTAATTTAGAAAACTAGACATGTTTGTTGTGAACTAAAGCATATGTTTAGACAACAATTTTTTTTTTGTAAAAGCTAGTAAGAAAGATTGTTAACTGATCAAGCTGGTTTTGATGACTTTCTTGTGTCATTGAAACATAATATTTGCCAAGAAATATAAAATAAATAACATTTTAGTGAGGCAATCAAGAATTTAAATCTCACTAATATCATGAAAGATATCGGTCTCCTTTGTGGATGAAAAAGCTAAATATTAAATGTTACAAGTTAAGTCTTAAAAGTGCTGCTGTCATTTCTTTTATATCATGAAAGATAAACCTAGATTTTATGTGTCTGTAAGATGGGCATGATTGTGTGGTTTTCCTTTTCAGATCTGACAGATGTTGCCATATGTTCCTTGTTCATCAATTGCCCGTTATTGCACGATGTTTGTCTTGATGGTCTCAAACCAATAACATCAAAACCATTCTTGCCCATCATAGCAGGTAACAAATAAATATTCTTAATTTTTTCCCCATCCAAAGATATTACATTATTATTACGCATATCTAAAACTCTATGTAATTACATGTGTTTTGTGGTTAACTTAACCCTCAGAGACTTGGGTTGTAATACTTGTACATCATCAAGATCTTTTTCATATTAAGGGCGTGTTTCAACTGATAAACACAAAATAATCTATTTTTTTAAACCGTTTTTTAATGAGTGCCAGACAGCCTGCCCACGTTGCAACTGCATTTTTGATTTTACAAAAATTGGTTTTCGTGACAAAAAATTACGTCACCATTTTGTTTATACAACATGTTTTCAAAACTGTATACAGTAGTATCTTTCTCATTCCTGTCATCAGGGGCGGATTTAGGGGGGGGCCGGCCCGGCCCCGGCCCCCCCTTTTGGGAGGTAAAAAAAAGGGAAAAAAAGAAAAAAAAAGAGAAAAAAAGAAAAAAATGATAGCCCAGACAAGATCTTTTTCATATTAAGGGCGTGTTTCAACTGATAAACACAAAATAATCTATTTTTTTAAACCGTTTTTTAATGAGTGCCAGACAGCCTGCCCACGTTGCAACTGCATTTTTGATTTTACAAAAATTGGTTTTCGTGACACCATTTTGTTTATACAACATGTTTTCAAAACTGTATACAGTAGTATCTTTCTCATTCCTGTCATGATGACGAAAAGTAAGATACGGTGTGCGGCAAGAAGGCAAATGTTTTCAGCTGTGCTCATTGATACAGCAAACGAGCGACCAAAAGAGCAGAGAGGCCTAGGCCCAATATCCCCCCACAAAATAATTACAAAACGATTTCTTTGCTCCACATGTTTGTTGACGTTTTAGCTTGTAGGCCTAGGACATGAACAAGTGGACTAATCATTATTTTGAAAGTTCACACCTGATATGATCTGGCTTTGCATCCTGGGGTCGCATTTTACCCGATAATCGCTTTTTCGTGTTGCAGCTAAAAGGTGCACAGCCAAAAGTGTTTATTTGCTGTTCAAACACACTATCCATTGCATGTTTTTAATCGATTTTTTTAATCGCTTTTTTCAAACTGGTCCTGTTTCTACTGCAATTTTTAATGTTAACTGGGGATGATTAGAGCAACCACTAAATGTAAAACAAAATCTATGCAAAAAGCTTTTCCCACCATTCTAATTCACTCCCCCTTCCTGTTGAATGTTTTACCCAATCATTTGATCTCGTTTCTTTTTGAAGAGGAATATTAATCCTATTTCTATTAGAACGATCCTTTCTCTAATCCCTAACCTTGAATGATGATCCTCATTATAAAAATTTTAAGAAGAACGTATTAATAGTCCTTCTTGCATGCATTCCAGAGTTGTTCCGATGGCGCCGTTGCCAGGCATTGATCAAGCTGAAATTGAAGGAGCAAAAATTATTGAAAAAAATTGGAGAGCCACAGTTGTCAAGTGATGAGGTTGGTAAAGAATAAATCATCATTGTTGTTATTATTAAAGCAACACTGATAATTGATGATTTATGTGAATTTTGTTTCATATTTATGAGTGTTAAGTTCAATATTGTTTAGGAATAATTCGTAAACCCACTGAGTATATATACTGTAGTTAACATTTTATTAGAAATGTTGATTAAAAAAACCATTTTGCCCTCAAAGTAATTTTCCTTTCCTGAACGAGCCGGTTTTTGCCAAAAACTAGTACCAAGTACACTCTTTATTATTTTTTAGGAATACGAGGACCTTTTTATTCCAACACGTTCCACAACCTATGCACTCCATCTACGGTACCTTAGCTTACAGTATTGTGACCTGGTAAATGACCGTCATTTGGCTGAGATAGTTGCCATCTGTAAGGGTACATTGAGCATCAAAGACTACTATGGTGAACAAATTGTGCCAAAGCTCTTGGACTACAGGTGAACTGAAGGTCATTGGTTGAAAACATCATTAACACGGTCGCTGCCAGCAACGAGTATACTCATCCAACAGGGTGTTGCTGAGGGTGCTAGGGACGACTATACTTGTCAAAACCGGGGGTAACATTCTAGCGTTTATTACTTTAGAACAACAGTTCTTTCAGAACTCTCTATGTGTCACCGGCCGATAGTTCAAGGAAAACACACCTAGACGATAACATTAAAATAACGTGTGTGTGTGTTGTGTTATGTTGCAGTACTAAGATTACACGAGCAGTGGTGAACCGTCAAGGCAAGCAAGTTATGCTCTGCATACCAACTAAAACTGTAAAGAAAACATTCTAAAACCCTAATAATTAAAGCATGGACCTATTTAATAGGATTTATTTTAACTTTAATAGTATTAAAGTTAAAATAAATCTGCATTGTAACTTGTTAATGTCCTGGAATAAGAGAAAATCTTTTAAGAAGGAACTACTGTCCAAACCATGCAGGTACAGGTACACAGAGAAACATACTGTACCGTATTTATTCGAAGAACACATCGGCATGCTTATTTTCACAGTAAATGTGGAAATATAACACATAATTACCGTTAAAATATGCTATTGCGTGATCATAAAGACTTATTGAACCAACCAGATTTTAACAATCATTTGGGGGGGTGGGGGGCGTTTATTTGAATGAATGCAATATTTTATAAAGCGTATTTTTTGACTGTAGGCTAATACACGGATTTTCCCCACTAGCAGCCTGTAACATACTCTACATTTTACCTACGGTCCGCCACTGTGCACAAGCAATGGCGGCTCTAAGATAGATTTTCTGGGGGGGGGGGCGCCATATTGTTCTGTACCTGTCTCTTATACACATCTAGATGTGTATAAGAGACAGGGGGTGTGCTGCTACTCAAGAGTTGTCTACAATGTGTCCTACAGGAATTCATTCAATATCATTTTTTTTCCATTTGATTTCTTCTATGTCATTCCAAATAAAATTATTTTATCTGAAGCATTTGAATCTACTTTTGATGTTATTTCATTACGCGCTTTCCTAAATTCTCTAATTTTAAATTTAAAGGTGGTTATATATTCTCTGCTGTCTGTATCTGAGCACTCATTATTATGTATCTGTGTGTATGGACGATTTGGCTCCCAACCGGTTGAGACCTGACGTCCCTACACACAAATTACCTTGATTTTTGCATGTACTTTGCAACAACTTTAAAAAAAGTGAAACAGTGGCAATGTATATTCAGTGTGGGGGGGGGGGTGATTTTTTATACGTCCCTGATGTTTGGAGCACTGGTAGTATTTATGTATTGTGTTTACAGTGCTATGCAGAAGCAAAACCTAAATATTATTATATTCTAGTATTTTTAATACTGTAAGAGCTGATGAAGCACACACAATTTAATACATATCCTGCACTATACATAAACAGTGTTTTCAGTGCCAACACTATGCCACACCACATTATTAACTTCAATTGTCAGCATTTTACAGTATTTGTTATATCGCGCTTTAAAGCTTTTACTGTATATAGATCGTTTTCGGTCATATTCTTGTGTACACTTCAAGACCACACCACAGTTTGCGAGTGTCGCCAAATAAATAAATAAAACATGTCATCTGATTTTTTCGACCTTTGTTGCCCTGTCTGTTACTAGGCAACATTCTTCCATGGTCACTCAGATTCTTGCTACTTTTTTCAGGGTTATAAAAACAATTCGGACCACAGTTTAGTGCTCATTTAAAGGGATCAAAATGAAACGTATTTAATTCTATTTACGAATATGTTTTCATTAACTTGCAGTTTTTAATACAAAATTCCTGAATTTGGTTACTATACTAGTCAAATATTTTAAGAACTCCGTATACAACATCTTTCACTGTGAAATTCATGTTATAGTGCCCAGTCTTTCATGAGAGATATCAAAATTTAAATCAAAAATGAAGTGTAAAAGTTCGTTGACCATCTCCTAGTTAAATATAAACGAGCACAAGAGCACGAAAAGTATAGATAATAAATCCATCAACAAAAAATAATATAAACATCGCTTCAAAAGCCAATCACAATGGCAATTGTAGAATTTGTAAAATAAATTTGGTGCAATAAAATTGCTTTGATAGATAAATATATACAGTATGTCCATATCATTATGTGTTTAGTAAAACAACCATTTAAATTTATAGTTATTTAATAGTATGTTTTAAGCCTAATTCAGTATGCGCTTTAAATGTAGGCCTATTACTGTGTTTTAGCCGAGACAACTACACACGTGTATAGTTGTCTCAGGTTTTAGATAAATATTTAATTATTTTGTGCATGCTATTTAAGTTGGGATATTTTTGTATCTTCTTATTTTATGCTCTTGTTAATTCTTATGTTGCTGTTAAATTACATTCGACAAACTGGGCATCACAATTTTTATAATGGTTGTTCCAACTGCAATACAGAACAACAAAGTACTTTTTTGCTGGATAGACTACTTTCCATAACTGGTTGTATGTATGTGCGTGTATATATACTGTATGTACTGTACCAATCTCCAGGGCCGGATTTAGGGGGGGGGGGAGCGGGTCGGTCCCCTCCCTTTTAGAAGGTGGAAGAAAGAAAGAAAAAAAATGATCGCCCAAAACGCCTGAAGTTATTTTCGAGCGTCTAAAACTACAATTTCGCGGGCATGCCCCGGACCCCCTAGGGTGGTATTACCACGATCGGGCCCCCTCTCTTTTTGACATCTCTGGATCCGCCCCTGATCCGAACTAAACACTTGTAATATAAATAAATTGAATAACTGAGATGATACAACACTTCAACGACAACCAAAGCGGTTTTTGTTGACCACTACTTAAATCAACCATACTGTTCATTCTCGTTGGCCATATTGTTCTGTACCTCGTTGACCTTATAATTAGTACTGTACTGCAATTTAATAGTGATGAGAATCATGATGGCGGTAATTTGGTGGTCTTCCTAATAACGAAGTCCAGTACGATCATGGTACGATACTGTGCACAAACTCTACTCTATACAGTACATAAAAATCCCAACAATTGAATATTGATTTCGTTTACCGCATATAAACCAGCGCTGCCCAGCATCGGAAAAGTGCTTGGAAGTTGGCGCTAGCAGCCAACAACATTTATGAACGAGGTCATATTACCGAAACCAGATTTACGAGTAGAAAGTGCGTCACTATTTACATCAAGGGATTTGGGTTGTTGGCATGGTAATAACACTCAGATCACGCCAGTTCATGCTTCTAAGAATCTTTACAGATGTTCGGAAACCGTGATTGGGCATAGAACTGTAGGCGTACTACAGTACTTCCATGGATTGTAATTTCCCATTGTATTGCCAAACACAATTACTAAATATCTTTTTTTCTGTAATAAAAAGGGATCTCTAAAATTACTACCCCAAGGTGGAGTGAACGCATTTCCGGTTATCACTCCCGAGGATGCATTAAAAAATCCTGAGGATTCGTCAAGCTTCGGAATCGGTGGTGGTGCTGGTATTTCAGACATACGGGTCTTTTTACAGCCTGGACCAATGAGACTAAACCTGCGCATTCTACCACCATAAAGCGAACCTGCAAGCTTAACTACACTACCAACAGGTGGTAAATCGATCAAAATCCTTGATGGAATACCATTTTATTGTAACTTTGTAAAAAACTTACAAGTAAAATTCGATGCTTAATAACAATCATTATACAAAAGTTAGTAAAATATAAGAAATATAAAAATATATATGTTTTCATTATCTATAAAGCTGGGAAAACGCCTAATTTTTTTAAAGTACAGATTTATTATAGATGTCTTGAAACATCGGATCAGATTCAATGTTAGAACGATTTTGTCGAGTTCCAAAACCATGTACTAATTTCAATTTTAGAGGAATTTAGTTCAAGAAAATTATCTACTTTACACCAATTCTCGAAATTACTAACCCAGTTTCTGCAAACCAATTCATCTCCCCGATACGTGGATACATTTCGATGAATCGTGACAAATGAAACCGGCAGTTTCTGAGTTCCAGTACATATTGCACGCATTACTATACAAATACCAAAGTGACAACCAACATTGAACGAGAGTGTCATATTTGAGGTTTTCAAGACGATGCTGCAGTTTCCCAAGAAAACGTGATAAAAACATCCTCAAGCATCTGTATGGAAATGAATAGCAATGGCCCGTGGAATAGACCCGCAAGCAATATTAAGTTTTATTATATTAAGTATAGGTCTACCAAGAATCTCCCCGGGATATTTACCTATGTTCTCTAGGCCTACAGACTATTGACGTTCAGTGCCTTGGTGTTTTATTTAATGTTTTTATACAAATCTTGACTGAATAACTAGACAGTGGAGCTAAAAAAGGCACAAGTGTTTTGACGAAAACTTCCAGTCTAGTTAATTTATATTGGAATAAAAGTTAAAACACTGTACAATAATGAAGCTAAAATAGGTTTAACATGTTGATGCACCAATGACGAGAATAATTATTTTGTGAAATTCGTAATTTGTATCTGAAGTCTGATGAGATTTAACATGCGTTGCTTTCAAAATTCGATTATCCTTATCCTTTATTAAACTTGACACCATGGTTTAATTGGTTCCAGCACCGTTAATATTATTAATCGACGCTAAGGAAGTGTGGTTCACTAATCGTCTATTAGGATTTCTCCGAGGATCTTTGTATTTTTCTTAACTTGTAATCTTTCAAAATGTCTTTTCAGCCCACATATGCATGCGAGTATATCTTCAACAGTGAAATAAAATACAACATTGAAGGGTATCAATTGAAATTAGAACTAGAAAGTATTTTCCCCACCAAATTTAACTCAAAATAAAATGGCTGAGTTGCATTAATCAAGAACATTCATATAGTATTTGAATCTGCAAAAACTTATTCAATTGGAAAGGGGGATTCATGATTGGAATAACTAAAACGTTTTGGTACAGTAGTTGACGTGCACCTATCTTCAGTGAATTTTTTGCAGCCAATAGGTTGGACAGTATATTGTGGCAAACATGAACGTTTTACAATAAAATGAATAAAACCGATTTTAATAGTAGAGTGTCCGTAACGTTGATTGATTAAAAGACTACAGATAGTAAACATTGTAATTGACCAAAGACTAGTTCAATATACACATTAAACCAATTAACCAACGTGTTCAGGTAAAAGAAACGGTGCACACTACGATACTATTTTACGTTATTCTTAAGCCAGAAAGGATATTATGCCCATCAATATAACAAACAAAATGTAACTCGTGACTTTTTAATTATAAGAGAAGTGCAGGGACAAAATAAGGTTTACGACTGGTTTAATAGTAGATGAGAGAACAGTATTATAAGCGTAGTTTAGTATCTAAAAGGATGGTACTGTGTTGAAAAATGGTTAATACAGATAAATTTTATGGAACATGAGTAGATTACGGTATTTAATAACATGGACTTGATTTATAAAGATGGAAATTGAAAATGTATGTTTTAATTGTATTTCAATTGTATATGGAATATATAAGTGGTTGATCTTAACCGTAGGCCTACTACACGATATTTTTTTGTTGCAACACATTATAATTTAAATCTTGAGAATGGCAGTTACATGTTTAATATTTATATCGCACGTCGATTGGCCATCTTCGATTATTCGTCTGCACTGTATTGTGGAAATGCTTCCGGATCAGAGAAAACTGGACAGTATGTGATGAATGGAAGGAGAGATCATTGCATACTTCCTTAACGTCACTATTGTTTTGACGACAATACCATTAACAGTTATTTGAGACTATCGGTACTCGGCATTGAGTTCTGCTTTTAAAACAGAGCAGAGGCGATTCCATTTTCTTAGTTGAGGTGCAGTACTTTTCAGTGGATGGCAAATCCAATGCTTTCAGTTCATCCAGTAAGTGAATTTGCAGTTCCGTCTACTATTGTAGAAATAATACAAGTTTTATATCATTTATAGATTTACAAAAATACTTTAAATTCATCTTGATTTCGGTTGAAAGCTATATATACAATACTGTACCTGTACTTCGACTATACTGGTGATCCTCGATTCAGATTATATTTTCATAAGGAAAACCTGTAATGAGTTCAGATATTAAATACAAACAATACACAGTACAATCAATATAATGTATATACTGTACTGTATAATATAAGCAAATCTTCGTAGGCATATGTATAGACTTGACTTGATAGTAAAAATGTGATATCAGTAACCACATCTGTTAAAAGTCGACCACTTGCTACGATGTAATCAACTGAAATTGGGTCCCATACAGTCCGATTTCGACGTGCCATGTAAAATTAGCAAGAAATAGTGTTTCGCTTATACTTTATTTAGATTTTGCAATTAGAAGTAAACATTAAGCAACCGCGCTAATCGAATGGTAATAAATAAATAAGCATAAAAGAACTTTCACTTACTGTAGTTCTTATTGAAAACAAGTCTTGAAATTAAGAAAACTAAGTCTATGATATATCATACGGTTTTTAAGAGAAATAGCAAGCACGCAACAAGATACTAAAAAAGTGTCATGATTGTCTGAGCCTTTTGTAAAGATGGGCTCAATAAAGTTCGAAACTAAACCAACTTATTGCTCTGTCGAAGTACGACGGCGGAATTCATGGTTTGTGGTTTAACATAAGAATCCCCAGCGAGGCATTCTTTTAGGATGTTAATTGACAAGTGGTTTCAATCGATTTCGCAACTGCAGCCTACTTGATAATTACTACAATATATACAACCGACAAAATGTTTAGAGACCGCATGCAATATAAACTAGATATAAGCATGTAACTAATTACTGTAGTACGTACCATAAGAATTAGCACCAGACGAAACGAAGGGTGGTGGTGTTGTGATGAGTGTGCTCTGTGACATGAAGGCCGGGAGGGGTGCAATATTACTAGAATCATCACAAACATTACATGCATCCCGACCTGTACGTCACAACTATCACTGCATCGCCAAAGAATTTTTGCAAGCATAGCTAGAATATAGAAACATTGCTGCTGAAGACCGGAATTGCTAAAAGACTTGATGGTTTCGTGAAGAAGCACATGAATGGTTTAAAGACGTACATAGTTGAGTTCAGTAGGCCGGGACAAGTGCAATACTAGACTTCTGAAAACCACAGCATAGTACATGTCATGACCTATTAAACTCATCTTTTTTTTTTTTTTTTGATGACATAAAACGGAATTCCTCAAGAGTCCTCGCATATGAATTGTAGTTTGGGTGACGAAAGAAAATCGCATACTGCAGTGCTATGATGACTAATGTTGAGCGAACGGGTGTTTAGTGTAGAGTTGCGTCTATCTATGCGCGTCAACAAAAGAAGCTAAGGGCGATAATAGACGGCTTTCACAAAGTGCGTGCATGCACGACAGAGAAGCAAGCAAATTGAAAATTTCTACAAGATAACAGTACATAAATACAGGCTGCATGGCAGGGCATTACACTAGTGAATCAACAAACATGAATACATTTATTAAAATATAATTTCAATAGACATTAATGTAGAAAAATAAAATATATTAATATGGATAATCATTAGAAATAGGCCTATAATTATAAGATCTGCTGCTCCTGTAGGCAAACCTCCTCCGATCCTCCTCCTATAGTCCCAGATTCGGTCGACAATTGGGAAGTGACAAAATGTTCCGAAGAGCTGGCCCTAGTCAGATGGTTACATGAAGTTTTTCAATAAATAAAAAAAATAAAATAAAATATGTTAAAATAAGTTTGAATTTTCGTACATAGACAACTTGTGTTAATCTTTTGTCCCGCAGGAATGATCAGTTGAGTTGCTGGTGATGAAAAGAAAGTACAGTATAATTATTTGTTCTGATTTTAGCTCAAAGAATAGCTCGTGCCGCCGTATTTTGTGTTCTCTGTAGTCTGTCAGAGAGCACCTTCCCACAATTACCCCGAACAATATCATAACAGCGAAAAACAAGAAATTTACTAATCAATCTCAGTGAGCTAGCTTTACTTTGTTATGGCAACGGACCCCCGCTGAGCGATTTTTTGTCGAATGAGTTTGGATGGAAATTACCTCTTAAGATATTGGAATAGCCCAAATAAAATGCATACGTCCTTGAACAAGAGTCACAAGGTGTATTCTGTCGTGGCATCTGACGGATAAATTGAATAGTACCGTATTGTATCCACTATGCAGTAGTTAGCGTCCAGTCAGTAGTGTTTATTGTTAAGTTAAAGTTTAAATATATTTTATGTTTTGACTGGATTAAATTAACTATTAATACTAAACACAAAATATAGTGACCGGCTCTGGCAGACGCCGTTTGTCAAAAAAATAAATAATTTGGTACAGTACTATGTTTTTATTCTATTCTACAGCAAATGTATTGCTCTTTGAACAAACCGTCTATGGAGTAATCGTGTCGGGATTCGAATATCTATCTCATGAAAATTAGTTGAATTGAACGAATCTGAATATTCATTCTCTTGGCCAATGTGGGTGCTGGCGCAAAATTATAAACACCGACCAATGTACAGTAGGTTTTGCTGGTATTGCAAGCCAAAGTCATTTAAGATCCATACTGGATAGTAGATACTTCAAATGCACTACGATAATTATATAAATCATTTCTGCCACGTTAGCTTTAACTCAACAGATGTTTTTTCCCGCTCAAACTGTGCGTATTTATAGATACGCATGCGCTATCAATATACAAGATTAATTACAAGGCGATGGCATTTTCCTAGTTTATTAGGCCATGGAGTATTAGGCCGCGCTGAGTACACTCCTTGCAAGGTCATTTAAACAAAACACCTTGGGGCATACACAAATTGTGAGAAAAAGCTTTAGTTTTATCATGTTATAAACCTTCCTTTGAATTTATTATGTTAAATTATTGATATAGCGCCTTTTATTTGACCAGTTTAGCCACTGTGGATGCCAGTGCGACGCCTTAACACAACAGGGACAACCATGTGGAACCAATTACAGGTTACAGAACTAGGCCCATATGATGAAATGAATAGAAGTATATTCCATTATTTCATTTCGCATTCACATATCAAGTGACCTCATAATTCCGGAGCCGTCAAGCACAACTGTAAAACTGCTTCGATAGGCTCGCTTTGTTAACACATCCGAGGCTAAAAAAATAATAGAACTAGTCCTAAATATAAAGTTTAATGTTTGCTCCATACAAATTTGGGTGGTTGGTTATTAAAACGTATCATACAGTATCTGGTTAAGAACACCTTAATGAATGATGATTAAAAGTAGATGAAGACGGTGTGGTTCGGCGGCAACCTGCAGGCCGGGACGAGTGCAATACTACCGAAAATGCCAGCATTGCGCTCATTCAGACCTGCAAGTCGACCCATTCCAAGAAGCTCAGTAAAGAAAGTCTCGTTGAATCGTTGCGAATAAATCAGTTAAGATGAAAGCATTGTGACGTCAGAGAGAAGAGTTGTGTATGTAATAGCAATATTAAGGAAGAAGGAAATTCTTGACAAGCAGATTGAGAACTTGATCGGCAATACTCCAGACAGACGTAGGCTTACAAACTATCAATCCGACGAGCCGGTGATTTGTTTTAGATCAAAAACGGGAACCGGACATCCGATAACTTTTGACATCTTAGCTAAAATTAGATTACCATTGTTGTTCGACTTCGATCGTACACAGTCGTACACTATAACTTTCATTAATTAATAGCCTTCTGCATCTTTATTTTCACAAATAAGGAGTTACCCGTGCCGCATTACAGCATTTTATTTTTAGACACATGTGTGGTCTAATGAATGAACTTCAACAGCACGACCACTGCAGAAAACGCGTTGCCCCGGATATCAATTAACTCGGCAATGGAACGCGAAACCACAAGATTTAACACCCCCTGATTAATTTGCTTAACAATGAAGTATTGTTGGAATTTCACTAAAGACGCCACGTTTGGTAGGGCAACATGTAGAAAAGGGTGTACATAATTATAATCTCTTGCATCATTATAATTATCCATGCGAATATAAAACAAAGACAAGGTACATTCAATGACCCCATACTTCTCAGTTGTTTATGGAATAATTAAGTTATTCAAAATAATATAATGTGTTTGAACATGATAACGAGTAACACGAGATGCGACGCCCGTCACCGAACAAAGGTAACGTTTAGTTTTTTTGGCGCGAAAACATTAAGACACGCTTTGATAGTTTGATAGACGGTACTTGAATCTTGATGCATGCAGAAAAGGCAATAACGTAATTCGAAATCGTTATTTTTCAAATTGACAGATTAGATAGCCGTTTTAAACGTCTATCAATTAAATTATGTAGCATGAAAGCTTAAACGGCTATGAATACCTACTACGGGCGGACACAGTTTATATTCGAAGCGCTTCAAATTTGACGTCACATACAAGTTTGAGTTTGAGGTTTATTTAGCCTAGCTACGATAACTAACAACAATCGATATATAATTTAGTATACTTACCATCACTAGCCAGTAACCCCAAGTAACAAAGTGTAAAGCAGTAATCGGGTAAGAACGATTAGACCAAGTCCACAAATTCCTTATCAACATTACAATTTGACACTTGAATACAGTAAACGTTGTAGTTTAAGTACAGTATCAATAAAAGATAAAAATAGGCAATTTTCGACATAACAGTAACACAATTGATAACCACAAAGCAACTTTACTGTGAAAAGTACCGTTGAAAACATACTCAAAAGTTAACAAGAACATAACAGTTGACCTCGGAGCAACTTTACTTACTTGAATCATACTTGATTATCCTACACCACACACCAGCGTATGCACACTAAGCAGCACCTCTTTGTTGCAAAGTAACTTGAGTGACTGGTTGAATACTTATCAAAATGGCTAAACACAACTGAATGGCATGTTGCATTCTCATTATAGGGGTGTTCTAATTTAGGTGTTGAAAATAAAGGCAAAGACAAAATGTACCGCCTGCACAAACCTGGCCACTACAAAATACGACTTTGCATATAATTATTTGCAGAATATATTTAAATACATACTCACGTTTGCAGGGGAAACTATAGCTATTCTAATCGTTAGACAATTACTATTCAGAAGACTTTTAGACTCTCCCAACTGTATGATAAACACTGTGCTACCTTCTTTTAACCTCTTGAATTAGGGAATGTATACAGCGATGCTATGGACCAATTGTATGCAGTGGATTAAAGAGCTGCAGATTTGTGCTGATGACATACAATGCATTTTAACCAGCTGAAGCAGGTGCTTAGAAAATGCGATCTTCTTGAGAGTACAGTCAAGAAATTAGTTCATAAATTCAACAGAAATAGTCAAGGGTCCGTGGTTTGCCTTACCCTAGGTTTAAAGCCAGTCTTCGGGGGAAAAGAAAAAACATTGTTGATATGTTGTAGGCCTACAACTCACTTGTTATTCACCTTCACCCCCAATGTTTAAAGATTAAAAAATCTATATCTCACTAACCGTTCCCATAAGATGTTCGTCACAACCTTGTTGTGTCTTAGAAAAATCAGTTGTACAACATATAAAATATTTTAATGTGAGTTGCCTGTCATGAGCTAAACAAAAAATGAAAAAGTTTATTCCATATTCGAATTGCCTAATTTGTATATTTATGTAATTATTAACTAAATTTACAATTTGAATGAGAAAAAAAAAATCCCGTCAAATTAATGGACAGTTAAATAAGCTATACAGTATTTCCACAAACCTTTACACCTTTTGCAGTAAAATTATGTAAATCAGGGAAAACGATTTTTTCGATCTGTTTTTAAGTTGGAACTTTGAAAATAGAACAGTTTGAAAAAGAGCTATACTGTATTCAATCACTTAGCAGCATAGGCCTAGAACGCACAACATCGATTAAAATTCTTTTTAATTCTGTCAGTTATAATCCACATAGGCATAGGCTCAACTTTAAGACAAGAGTTAATTAATCGAATGATAAATAATTATTTTTACCGGCTCTACACATTTACCATAAAATCATTTTCTAAAACCTATGGCGTTTCCATTCGGTTTAGAAGTGTCTAATTTAAATACAAACGATTATAGAAAATCTTACCATCTCGAGAGCAGCTAACAATAAATTATCTTATGTTTCCAGGCAATTTGAGCCATGACGAGTTAATCAACATTTAATATTGCAAAACAAATAGAAAAGTCATAATATAACTCCAAAAACTATTGAGTTATTACACTGTTTATTTATTATATGAACACATTTTATAAGAACACTGAGGTTAAAATTGCTTAAATATGTAGAACAAAATAATAACAAATTGGGGCTGAGGCAAAATATCAACTGAGGTTTATCTTTTTTTTTGTTTTTTTTTAATTAGAAAAAACCAATAAAGTGTATCTGTAGCTTATGTGCGGTAGATGTGATGATATATTACTACACTATATTACAATACCCTCTTTGTACAGTAATATACTGCTGTAAAATAATAATTTTCGATGTTTAAAAAGTGTGTAAAGATAAGAACAAAATAAGAACATTTTGAGCTTGAAATCGGCAAAAAATAAGAACACAGAGCCTGGGCAAACTTTCATTGGTTCTTACAAAAAAAAGTGTATTTGGCAAGAAAACGTCTTGAAATAAAATGATACGATATTTATTGGACATCAATCTTGAATTCGCACTAGACTAGATATAGGTAGAATACATATCGACCCAAAATGCAATAAAAAACAACAATACTACATAACCCCACGTAAATCGTCCGAGTTCTTGTTTATAGTCCTACAGTCGTAAATCATTGGATATCGACATATTATAAAGGGAAATTACAATAAGAAAACGTAAGCATGACGGTGTTACTAGCAACCATGTTTCATACGTCTTGAAAACAATTATGAGAGATGGCAGGAAGGTGGGTTGTGGGCGTTCCCAGTGGCGTAACGACGAGTCACGGGGCTCGGGGGCTAGAAAGTTTTGGGGCCCCATGCATTACAAGGGGCTCCTTCGCAGTGGAATACCAAACAATACCGTAGATTGTTTTATTGCTTTAATTTCATTTGAATTCTAGTAGCTACCGGTACTTCATTATTTCGGAGTATTTAAATGTCAGTTCGGCTACTGGAACTGGGTTTCCCCCGCCCCCTAGAAAGTCCATAGGCGTTACGCCACTCGTGGTTCCCTTGCCTACTTGGGGTCCGGAAGTCTATGACTACCCAAGCAAGCTGGAATTTAACCTCTTATCTAATGATTTATAATTGGTTGGATATTTTTTTTGGCTGCTGTCGGGGTGTGGGCAAGCGGCGCCCTTTCGCCAACTCCAGGATCGGCTACCGCTAAGTTTCATGTTTTTTTAAGATATAGTCATGCTAGTCTTATTCCACTTATGAAGGCATATGATCTGCGACGAAAAGGGATTACTATTTTCCCAGACCAAGTGATTTCACTTCGAAAAAAAGTAAACTTGCCATTAGTTTTTTACTTTAAAGTTGAAGTTAATTGTGACCAATACTACAGGTATAATTAGGCCTACTTGGTATTGTTTGGAATGGTATTTTCTTCTCGTAACGAAATCTATACGACGCCGTTGAGCTGTACACACGCCACCGTTTTTAAAGATAATAAAATGGATTCCAGAGCAAAAAGAGGCAACTTCCGCTTAAAAATTGTCACGCAAAACCAGAAATATAAATCAATGCAAAATAAACATTGTCGCATGATCTCAACTGTCGTAATGACGATTCTTGACATTGAACCAACGTACGCAAGCTATTCTAAACTTGCCTACATTTCTATATTTGTTTATTTATATGCCCTTTTTACAGATACGCAGCGCTTTTTCCAGGTCATTGGGTCCGCAAACTTAAGTTGCGTGTACAGGAGGCAGGCGAGCGATCCAAGATACGGAGACTCTTGGATGGAAAGAAGCAATGCAGGTAAAAAATGCCTTGCTAAATGGGCACAACACAACCGAAATGTACGGCGAGGAATTGAAATCCCGACCTCCAGGCAAACCTCACCGTCCACCATCCTCATCCAACAACGAGTGACATGTCACTTACAAGATTAAATAAATATTTTAGTGCATTTGAACCCATGACCCAAGATCCACCAACAAGGCAGATTAACAAAGGGGCTTTGGGGTGGGGGGGCAGTCCCAGGCCCACAGGCCCCCCAACGGGGAAAAATCCCCCGAACCCCAGGAACAATCACAAAAAAATCTGGTTTTATGTTTCAGCCACAGAGTAGGCCCACTTGTAATTACAGCCGCAGGCCGCACAGCCCTTTAACCCGGCCCTGTCCGCCAACAGTTGTGTAGAGTTTTGGCTGTTGAAATTTGGCGACAGGCAGGAGAGTCCAGTTCAAGGGGACACATACAGAAACTCTGGCCAGAGTTAATGTGTATTATGGTGAGCTCAAGGGTGGGTGGGGAAGAACTCTTAGCCATGAGCTAAACAAAATGAAAAATTCAATTCCATATTTGAGTTGCTTTGGTTTGTATATCTATGTAAGTTATTAACTTACAATTAAAATTTCAACGTAAAAGTGTGTCCTCATAAACGGAAAGTTAAATACAGAAACTGGGGATAAGCTCCAGCCCTATGAGCCCCAGTGGCTCGGAAAGGATTTAGTAAATACAGTAGTATTTTAATAGCTGTATTCTTTCGCATTATATTTAAGGACGTTTAAAGAAAAAATGAGCCGCAAAATAATATTTCATCTGTTTCTGGTTGGAAGTTAATAATATAATTTTACTTGATCCTTTTATGAGTTTATATTCAAGAATTTAATTCTGTGGTATTTTCCGACACTGTATTATTAATATGTAACTATAGTCGTTTTTCATATACTATTATCACAGACCCTATACTGTGCTATTAGAAAATATGTCCATGTCCATGACGAAGCGTTTGTAAATGTTTTATTTGAATGTAGGCTATGATAAACCTAAGGTGGACCTTTATCTAAGCTATTATAGAGAAAAATACTTCCTAAAACATACTATCGGGTGAAAAGTCGCAGGCTCAGGCATTACAGTTTTATTATCTGGATAGGAAATACTGATGTCATAATATAAACATGAAGAAGAAAGGTCTGGTTGTTAAACCCAAATATTTCAGATCCTATATCCATAAATCATGAGGCCTGCCGATGATAATAAGATAAGTAGTAACGATATGCACTATTCTTCCACTCAGAATATCAAGCATAATTAATTACCTTAAAGATAGATATATTGCCTGCCAAAAAAAAGAAGAAGAAAACAAAAAATCTGAAAATCCTTCAAAATGTAAATGAAAATCTTGAAGCTCACAGAGGTTAAAATGAGAAACATACTGAAAAAAAAAATAAAATAGGTTTTAATGATTTATAATATAGACATTAAATGCCCGTAAATCAGCAAAAACGTAAATAAAAAATCCTTACATTGACTACCAGACAATTTACGGGTCAATGCAAACGAAAACAGGGGCGGATTTAGAGGGGGGCCGGGTCGTAAAAGTAAAAAAAAAAAAAAAACGAAGAAAAAAGAAATAATTGATCGCCCAAAACGCCTCAGATGTTATTTTCGGGCCTCTAGAAAGCCCCCGAACCTCCTAGACTGGTGTTGTCTCGATCGGCCCCACTTTCGGCCCCACATTCCCCCCCCCCAACCCCATCCCTTTTTCGGACATCTCTGGATCCACCCTGCGAATTATACAGGAAAGGTATTTTTTTAATTAATTGACAGGGGATTTTTTGTCATTCAGATTTTTACTGTAAGGTAATATCTTACTTAAATATGCAATAAATTAAAGCATGTTTATTATACAGTAATTAAATTATGACAGACGTTTTTTGTCCTGTGGTTGTATGAGGGCGCACGGTCAAAATGGCCCCTGAAAAAAAGGCTCCAGTAAAAATGGCCTCAAATGACAGCTGGGTAAAAATTGCCCCAATGCTGAAATTTAGTAAAAAAAATGATTTTTAAAAAAAAGTTTTCCAACTATGATGAAAGATG